TATATATATATATATATATATATATACCATCTGTGTGTGTGTCTGTGTGTGTGTGTGTGTGTGTGTATGTGTGTTTAATTAAAAATTCGCAATATAAACTTATTTTTGCAATGTCCTGTGAACCTAAAAAAAATTTCGGGGCGCTGCCCCGAACCCCGAAATTTTAGTTAGCCCTCTCTACCTTCTAATCTTGGTTCCGCCTCTGGCTATGGCTATATTTTTCGAACCTAAAATAAACTTTTTAATCGTTAGAATTAAATTATTAACATTTTCAAAAACTAGTAAGGTGCTTATTTGACAGTGAGTAACTTAATATATTTGTTTTGAATTGTTGCTATTAAAATAATATAGGAATATTCAAACCTTTAAGAAAAACTAATTACAACTTACAAGTCAACAATCTTTTCTCATAATCACATAGAGTCAGCTGCTTAATAAGCACTATTTATTTCATGCTTAGGTGAGGTTTTGGAAGCCTAATTTTCAACTCATAGGTATCCAAGTTGGAGTCTCTATTGTCTATTTAATTGTTCTAAAAAAATTAATTATAATAATCTATTGTTTATTTAATTAGGTAAGAGCAATTGTTTGAAATAGGAGTGGAGGAATCACCAAATAACAAAATTTACTAACTTTGAGTATATTTTACATATTTCACACATTTCTTCTTCTTACTTTTTTTCTAAATTGAGAGGAAATACACAGTCATTGAAGTGCATTAGTCAAATTCGTCCTCATACAACAACTTGCAAACTATTCGAGAGATGCAACTATCTGTAACGAGTTCGATTTAAAAAATATTAACGAATGGGTTCAAACTCGAATCAAATAACTCAACACTCTCTTATTCCACCAACTAAGCAACCTATGTAGGTGCTTTTCTTCTAATTGTTTCCATGTCACATAGGTTTCTTTTAGTGTTCACAAGAGGTACGTATGAGCTCTATTAATATTATCATCATAGGATTAAAACATACTCTCAATCTGATTATCATCGTCGTATAATATTAGTATCGCCCATATGAACAAACATTTATTGTCAGAAATCACATTTACGTAGTTGTACGAAAAAATTAGGACCAGCAACCTATTAAATAATATTTAGCAAATATTAAATTATCGAACTAATAATTTAATACATTTTCACCTAGTCAGGGACCGAAAGAAATTATTATGTAAGCAAGATTATTAATTTTTCGATGCTCTATAGTTCTTATATATATATATATATATATATATATATATATATATATATATATATATATATATATATATATATATATATATACACACACACTATTACAAGCAAAGTGAAAGGGGAATGGAGGGTCGGTTAAGGTGTCCTTTGAGTGAATTAACTGCAACACTAGAAATAAATGGTACTTAGGTACGAATTAATTACAATCGTTGAAAGGCCCAAAAATATATAACCTCAAACTTCAATGCATAACTTTTTACTCTTCCTTTTTTTTTTTTGCTATTCTAATACTAATAATAATGAAATTTTACCTATCTTTAATTTATTTATTTATTTAACACGAAAAGAATTAAAGTTGTCACATGGATCCTTTAATTTAGCAATTAAGAGACATGTCAAACAGTTTTGTAGTACGTTAAGGGTGGACTGTTGACTTTATAGTCGATTTATTATTATTATTATTAGGGACATATATTCATGGCCTTAATTATATACGTTGAACCTTTTATTATGTTTTATTTATTTCATAACCATCCATAATAAGAATATATATGACATAATCAAATAAATATAATTTACTACATTTTATAGCATGCATTTCATAAATAAATACGGTCAACTTAAATCAGATTTATATTTGAAAAAACATTAATAGTTAGAGCAAATTACAATAATTCGTAATCCCCTATCAATAGTCACTAGGTCGAACTTGTCACACATGGTTATTATTGCAGTGTGGCTTACGTCTCTTGTATACTTTGCAAGTTATTATACGAGGATGTAGATTTACCCAGTGCACTTATTACCACTCTAGTATAGTTTTGGTCATTCTTTTTGTTTAATCATTTTCCCTTTTTGTCCTCAAGTTGAAAATTGACTCATCTTTGGATCCTCAAAATTTGAAATTAATTATTTTTTTTACTTACCAATAACACATTCCTTTTTAAAAAAAAAAATCTTAAAATATTTACAAACTAATTAACAAAATCCAAAAATCACATGGCAAGTGAAATTACACATGCCTTATATTGTTTTTTTCCTAATAAAAATTTGACCAAATTAAAAAAGAAAAAGAAAAAGAAAAAGAAAAAAGAACAAATCTTCTCCCTTAATGGGGCAATAAGACCATCATCAAACACGACTAATATAGGAAACAAAATTCAAATCTAATATCCAAATTCAAATTGTTTTTAATTATTTAAAAAATATACAGAAACTCCAATTATTGCCTAAAAATGTGGAAAGACAGACTACCCCATGTGAATTTTGCTCAAAAAGAATTCAAATTAAATCTTTTTTTTTGAAATACAAGCCACCCACCCCCCCACCCCCAAACACCCTACCCACCCCAACCCACGCGCTCCCCACCCACCCAAACACACACGCACACACATGGCAAGTGAATCCCGTCACACTGACTGTGTGTAAATTCACTTTTTCCTCGTTTTATATTACACGAATCCCCCGCTCTCTTCACCACCCCCTATAAAACCCACCATTTCTCCGCCACTCACCACTCACCACTCCCACCGCACTTTCTCTCTCTAGAACTTCCTTCGAGATCTGTGAGATTTTTTTCCCCCTTTTTTTAGAGAGAAGGAAAAAAAAAAAGGAAAAATGTCGACGCCAGCGACGCCGGTGTCGCCGCCGCTGAAGGACGAATTGGACATCGTGATTCCGACGATAAGGAACCTGGATTTCCTGGAGATGTGGCGGCCGTTCTTCGAGCAGTACCATCTGATCATCGTCCAGGACGGAGACCCGACGAAGACGATCAATGTGCCGGCCGGGTTCGACTACGAGCTCTACAACCGGAACGATATCAACCGGATCCTCGGCCCTAAGGCCTCCTGCATCTCCTTCAAGGACTCCGCCTGCCGCTGCTTCGGATTCCTCGTCTCTAAGAAGAAGTACATCTTCACCATTGACGACGACTGCTTCGTGAGTTTTTTTTCTCCTTTTGTTTGATTCGTTTTTTTATTTTTCTCAATTGATGTTGATCTGAGTTGAATCGGTGAGTTTTGCGGGCGAATTCTGGGCTAGATCTGTGTCTGTGCTTCCTTTGTTGATTAATTTTTGAAATTTCGTTGTTTTCCGGCGGCGGAGTGGTGGTGGTGGCGGTGGCGTTTTGGTCTTTGGGGATCTGGAAAAAGTCAACGGTCCATTTTTTAGAATATGCTTCAGAAGTAGAAGAAAATCCTCTGTAGTCTGTTGTTGAGTGCGAGAAAAATGTTTTTGGGGTTGTACTATAATAGGTGGAGGTCCACTGAGAAATGGTGGACCTTACCTTTCCTTATGACACGTGGCACACGCAATTTACTTTTTTTGTTTGGCCAAATCTTTCTGGTGGGATATTTCATATTTGCATTAAAGTTTCATTTCCTTCGGCCCACATAAACATTTTTAAATCTCTAACGTAGAATTCTTTGCGTTGATCTTAAACCTTCTTATAATTATTATTATTCCAATGTGAATGAAATTCAAGATTCCAAATTGAAAAAATGAAATTGTGTGTTGGATTTCATGTTACCGTGTGATTAATATATTTGGAGTGTTTTCAAGATGATGAACTGAATATATATGTGTATATGTATTAATCTATTGATCGAAATGTGAAATAGGTGGCGAAAGATCCAACTGGAAAAGAGATCAATGCATTGTCACAGCACATTCAGAATCTGCTAACTCCATCGACACCGTTCTTCTTCAACACACTGTACGACCCATACAGAGACGGTGCAGATTTCGTTCGTGGGTACCCATTCAGCATGAGGGAAGGTGCCCCAACTGCCGTCTCACACGGCCTCTGGCTCAACATCCCTGACTACGATGCCCCCACTCAGCTAGTCAAACCCCTCGAGCGTAACACTAGGTAGATCTTTTTTACTTTTAAAAATTCAATCTTGATTTCTATTTTTGCTTTTGTAAGATTGTGTAATAATGTTTATTTGATTGGATTGGATTGGATCGTATTGTGTTGTGTGGTATTATTAGGTATGTGGATGCTGTTTTGACTATTCCTAAGGGAACCCTGTTTCCCATGTGTGGAATGAACCTCGGGTTTAATAGGGAGCTCATTGGCCCTGCTATGTACTTTGGTCTCATGGGCGATGGTCAGCCTATTGGGCGCTACGACGATATGTGGGCTGGCTGGTGCACTAAGGTGAATTCTTTCACTAATTTATAATACTTGTGTTGTTTGTATTTTTATTAAAAATATATATGGTTTTCCGGTTGTTTGGGCCACGATATTTAGATGAAAACAATAGTTTTTTGAGAAGCGAATGGGGTCATTCCACCCTCTCTATATTGGCTCTGTGTTTTTCTGTTGTGAAAATCTTTTTAAGAACCTCATATAGCAATAGGGTTGAATTTGGAAGGGAAATTCCGATTTCTGCTGATTTCGATCTGAAAATCTTCGATTTTGGAATATTATTTTTCATCCTTAATTCAGAAAGTTCCGATTTGTTCAATTTTTTTAAGGAAAGTAAATACATATTGGATTCCGATCTCCTATCTGATTTAAATTTCCAAAAAATCCTACCTTTTTTCTGAAAATTGCACTTATAATATTAATATAATTATTATTATTTGTATTATAGGTGAACAACAAAATTGGTATTTCCAAATTCCACCGATTCCGTTTAAAAATTTCCAATTTTCGAATTTTTCCGAGTTTTTTGGGATGAAATTAGAAATTAGTTTTCCACTTCCAAAAAAATGATTTTTTTCCCAAAAGTATCGTCCAATTTCCACACCTAGATAGCAATCTAACAGGTTTATTCTATCATGCTACAACCGAGTTAAGCTCACAGCGTAATATCTAACCGTAACATGTGTATTACATGCTCTACAAACGTCCATATGTAATATGTATGTGATTGTGCGTTAACAAGATGAGAAAAAACGAGTTCTAAAGGCTCAACGGTATTTAACGGAACGTTTTTTGCAGGTGATAACGGACCACTTGGGTCTAGGAGTGAAAACAGGGCTGCCGTACATCTGGCACAGCAAAGCTAGCAACCCGTTTGTGAATCTGAAGAAAGAGTACAAGGGCATTTACTGGCAAGAAGAAATCATCCCGTTCTTCCAATCTGTTGTCCTCTCTAAAGAATCCACCACCGTGCAGAAATGCTACATCGAGCTCTCGAAGATGGTGAAGGAGAAACTGGGACCCATCGACCCTTACTTCGTGAAGCTTTCCGAAGCTATGGTGACCTGGATCGAAGCTTGGGATGAAATCAACTCGCCTTCTTCCAAATCTGCCCCTGCAGCTGCTGTTGATGCCTCCGCTTCTTCCAAAAAGAAGTAGACTTGGTTCGGTTTTTTCTTACAGAGATTTTTACTTCTATATTTACATGACTTGGTTTCAGAACTTTCGTATTTTGTTCTCGTTCGAGGATTCTAGTTCTCGTCGTTTTTTCTTAATTTATAATTACTGTTATCTTAGAGATGAGTTGTCACTTTTGACGGCTTAGATATCTTTAAGTTATATTCTATATGTTGGATACTACTTTCTATTAAAGCATTTTGGTTACAATATACATCATCTTTTGATGGTATTATTATTAATTATTATATGATTTCTTTCTGCATTTTGTATTCTGTTACATATGGTGATAAAAATATGTTGAAAGAACCTTAAAAGAGGTAGTAAGTTTCAAAATAGGGCAATTTACGGTCGCCCTTGAGGTAAGATCAAACTACGAAAAAAACTCTTATGCTTGGGTAATTATATGGAGTCAAATTTATCTATTTAGGGAGGGGGGTTTTCGTAAGACAATATATAGTTGATGGTAGTTTTAATTACCCAAACAAGAGGGGTTTTTTCGTAATTTAATCTTACATCAGGGAGGTGGCCGTAATTTGCACACCAAATTCATCTGTGAATAGTAACAAACTCAGATGCAATCAAGCAGCTTCATTAACAAATGATAAGACAGTTGATGAAAAGCAAATTAGTACTCTAGAAACAAAACCAAATTCTGCAATCTTTAACAATTAAATTTGATATTGTTAAAAACTAAATCCAATTAAAAAAAAAATAGAAAATAAAAGTCACATACCAAACCTATGTAGGAACAAGAAAAAACTGATTCTCCTGCACATATTTGCCATTGCAGGTGATAGAAATAAGACCAATAGTAACAAGAATCAACACAAATCCAAACCAAGCCATCACCGCCACGCACCTTCCACCGCCCCTCGACTTCCGATTGCCGCCTCTCGTCTCCGCCATCTCCACCACCACCACCGCCTTCTCTTCTGTGAGAGAAGAATCCGAGAACGAATTTCCCCCACCTAGGCCTATTTCACCACCACTAAAACTCCCATCGACAACCACGTCTCTTCCACGAGTATTAGTAGTAGTAGTACTATTACTCGAACAACCGCTACACACTTCACTGCCATAATTCAAGTCCATCACCTCCCCGCTCTGCCCCTCCTCCACCGCGAAAAGCCGCCGCCTCCACTTACGACTATCGCCCCTCGCTATAGCAGCCCTTCTCTCGCCGAGTATCTCCTCGACTGCAGAGTCGCAACTCTTTGCTCTCGGGATTCCATCGCAAGACGATCTAATTATATCCTTATGCTGAAGAGAAGACATGAGTTCTCTTGGAGAATTCGACAACAGCTGTTCGAAAGAGTTGATTATGCTCCTAGTATTACTACTACTATGTGATCCTGCTCCGGAATGTGTCAGTGGATTCTTAGTAATCGGCCTCGATTTTTCGAAGGATTTCCATTCTTGTTCGAGGTTCTTGAACTGTTGGATTAATCCTTGGAAATTATTCCCAGGTTGTTCTTCGGATTCATCTTTTGTTGATGTTTTTGTCATGGTGGGGTTTGTTGTGTTTCTTTTTCTTCTTTTTTATTTTTATTTTTATTTTTTATTGGTTGAATGTTTTTAGGGGGGATTTTGAACTACCTCGTCCTGGTTTTTCTCCTTTTGAATTTAAATTAAAACTTAAACCCTAACTACCTTTCAAGAAAGTTACCTTTGATAATTAACTCATGTTACATAATAAATAAATTGTTTGAAAACAAACTCACACAAGTAGGAATTTAAGTGTGTATAATGTGAAAGTTCCAAATTCAAAAAACAAAATTACTATGTGCGCCGCATATTTTGAGAAATATTGCTAATAAAAAGTAAAAATTAGAATTTTTTAAAATATTTTATAAAAAATATAATATATATTTTCACAACCAAACAATTGATTACAAGTATTCTACCGGGTTATATATTACAATACAATATCGACACAAAAAAAAAAAAAAAAAAAAAAAAACAACAAAAAACAAAAAGAAACAATTACAATCTATTCAATCAATCTATTCAATCAATCTTTTGAGGTATATATGAGTAAAGTGCATATATCCATCATAAGAATAGTTATGATTGTTCAATAGTGTAAATCCCAAAAGAAAATTGATATATTGATTCAATTTAATCTTATGTAATAATGTTGTTTCTTCTTTAACCCCTTCTTTTAACTAGTTAATCTATGTGAAAGAACACGGGAATGAGGACACGACGAAATGAGGAAACCCAATTTTTCAGAAAGTTAGATACATGAATGTGGGGAAACGTGTAAATATTAAAAATATAGAGGATCATCCATAATTTCTAATACATATTTGTATCTACAAATTATACATAATTTACAAGTTCCAATTCGAATTATCATTCCACAAATTACATTTGAGGAATGAGACATAAATTTATTTTAGTATGGAATTAGCACCTACTAAACCATATTAAAACACCATTAAAAGTGAGAAAGAGACATAAGACATAGGATCTTTTTAAGCATAGACTATTTCGTGTCTTCATTTAAAACGGGTTTTAGATTTACTTTTTTGGTGGAAGCGCATTTCCATTTTTTCATTATTGTCAGAAATGTCCCCAAAACTTTCAAGTATTTACAAAAACAACCACAATGTTTCTGACAGGTGTCATGGTATTTCGATATCCGAAATGTAGAAACGCATGTGTTTAAGTTTCCGTACATCATAGCCATTAACTATTGGACTTGGGAAAAGAGTTGAATTTACATGATGCTTCATAGAAATTGCAACGAAGGTGTGTCTTTTTGTAAAGATAGTCGAAGCGATGAGCGTTTTTTTGGTACACTTTGCGGTTTAAGGGGGAGAAATGAAATTACTAAATTAGTCCTATAAACAATTTTAATTAGTTTTCAACTTACCAAAATAACATTATCTCTTAAAATCAGGTAAACCCCAATTAAGTAACAAAAGTTTTGCAACATGTCATTACCACATAGTACCTGGAACAATTCTTAGTTAATGAAACTAAAGCTAAAAGCCCTAAGACTAAATCACTTGTGTTCTAGCCAGCTGTTAAATAGAGGATCCAAATATCGAACAAAACGATTTTACCTTTTCGCCTACGAAATGGATCATCAAAATCTGGATACCAATCTTCACTAATTAATTACGGCTTCTGTTTAGATATGTCTTCGATTATGCCTTTCCCATCCGTCGCATCAAAGAAGAAGAAATTCTTAAGAGGGTCTCCTTTGCCTGACAGTGCTTTAATAACTTCCTACAACCACCGATTTTTTTTTCCAAATTAGCAACGAAAAAAGGTCACATAATTTAATCGAGACACAACAGTTGAAACATATATCACCTGTCCGAGGATTCCTCCAATGATGGCGGAAACAGGAGGGAACTCTATTCTACCTTCTAACAATCTCTCGAGAAGGGAATCGGGAATTTGAGATTCATCCAGGGACTGTATATAATCAATATACAATTAACTAAACAAGGAAAAAGGGATTTTATGCGTGTGGATAAAACCTAAAGAATCTGTCTGCATATTACCTGTGCCTCACTAAGTTGCTTTCTCAGCTTTTGAACTTTCGGCAAGTCAGAATCAGAACTTTCTCCAGGAATACGGCTTTCAAGCTCCTCAAACTTCTCTATCACTGAAAAAAATATTGCAAGTATAAAATAATTATGTTTGTGAGAACGGGTAATTTTAAAAGAGAGAGAAAACACTTCCATTAAACTCAAAGTGCAATAGCAAACTTTTTTAATGCAACGAAAGAATTATCAGGTGGAACAAGGAAACAACAATAATAATTTTTTATTTTTTTAGTTCAGAATGGTGAATTATGAATTATCATGGTGGTCGATATTACACGAAGGGTCTGTTCCGTGTTTTGATGATTGAACTCAATCATCTAATTAGTGACTTTATTAAGTAAATTTGTATACTATGGTTCAATTAGATCATGTAAGTATCCACACACTTGAGAATTGACGAATATTTTTTTCTTCAGCATCTACTTCATCAACTTACTAAAAATGATATCAAATGCTTGTATATATGGTACCAGCTAAATTTAATGGTTCTCCAACTGATAATTGATGCATTTGATCAAAGTAATAATGTATACCTCTCATGGCTAAGTACAACTTAGACACCCTCCTTGGAAGAGATCTCCATGGCACAGAAATAGCTTCCTGATAGGAGAAAAACGACAAGCAACTTTTATTAGAAGACAACTTGCTAAATCACACATGAAAAGCGGAAAGTGAAATAACATTTGCTTATAAGCTATGACATCTGTCATTGCATTTCCACTCTCTTTGACTCGGAGAATAGAAAGGAAACCAATCCTTCCTACTTTCAAGAATCTGTTTTCTCAAAAAGATATGAATTTTAATCTCAATGAGCTTTTAAGACAAGTTATTTTAAGCCTCTGACATCGTTTAAGATTTCCGGAGCATTATACAACCATCAATCAAAACAGTACAATTTTTATTTTCTAAAAAATATCGACCACCATAAAATATTAGATTGCAGCAACTTCATTGGTGATTTTTTTTTATGGATGGGTTTATTAATCTTCCTATTTAAGCATAATGAAATCAGCAATTACATTATATAATAGATACATCTGTTACGACTACAGAAATGAAATTAATTAATAGGCATAATTCTAGCTAATATATATGAGAACCCTACTTAAATTAAAAACATATGTTCCGCTGCTGTAACATGAAAATAAAACAAATTTAGAAATACAAACGGCCTGTTGGAAATTGTTGTTTCATACCTCAAAACTTGGATACTCTAAAAGGCATTCAACTGCTTCATCGCCTTGTTTCTGTCAAGTGGGAAGAAGAAAACAATACGGAGAACAGTTCAAACAGTGATAATCTTATCTAAAGCAGAATGAGCATGATAATAGACTCAAAATCAATCTCTTAATCCAATCAATCTAATCAACATACAACAAAAAATGAACTTGAAAGAAATTCACAAAGGAAAGAGAATCTTGAAGACACGAACTACACCATAGAATCAAACCAAACTAATGCATACAGCATTAAAGCTTCAATAGAGTAAATGTATAACCTTGCTGTAGATGTAATTTTGCAAGTCAACAAATATTTCAGCACACGAGTCTCTGCAATCCACCGCATAGAATGCAATGCGTTTTAACAATTTGCGGCACTTCTCGTTAACTGATATCTGCAGCAGTTAGATTAAAAGAATTTATAAGAAATATTGATCGGAGTATTCACAAGTCGAAACAGTTGGAAAAATAATTTTGTGGTAGAACGCAAAGGTAGGCGTACTTTTGTCGAAAGAGTGGACGAACTCAGAACTACAACATCGAACTTGTCAAAGAAGTCAACATCAAAGTTGGATAATTCACCTGCAATCAATTAACTTTCAAGATCAGTGGAGTATAAAAAATGGTTGTAAAAGGGAGACGCATAAAGCAAAAGTGTAGTGCATTTGACATTCTTAAAAGATCTCCATCAAGCCTAAATTCTCACAAACATCATAGGCATGTTTGTTTTTAAGGGTAACCCACAAACAAGAGTTAATATTTACCCAAGAAACATTAACCTTTCACTGTTTAAACAGATCACTCTTCGCCCAAGCACGAATTGCAATAACATTTCGACAAACTTCGGATGTACAAGTAGAAAACAACTGATTCCAATAATACATAAACAATTTCATCCTCAACACCTTCGATTTTATTTTCATTCTTAGATTACAAACTGATCATTCAGAGACATTGCTCAGCCACATAAATCCTTAAAGCCTCCAAACCAATACAATTAATCGATCAACAAAACAAAAGGCGAGACAGCAAAATAAAATAACGGAAAAAAGGAGGCACCTTTTTCAACAGAAACACGAACCATGGGGTTGAAATCCTTCAAGGAATCACAGCAGAGCTCAGCAAGAGATTTCCCCGAGTACACGCTTTCATCGTGAGGGATCAAAAAGTTGGCCGACAGTATCTCCTCAGTAACAATACGGTCATCGTTTAACGTCACACTACCTACTCCTGCTAGCACAATGTTCTTGCAAAACTGCACATCGACAAATTCAATTAGCCCCTCACACAAACTCCCCAATTAAATTACACACTCACAAGACCCATTAGAAAATTTAATTAAATAATAAAAAAAAATAATAGGAACTTCATACATGTAGAAAGATATAAAATACCTCAATTGCAGTGCCTTTTAGGCCACTAACGAGTATATGAGACTTGCTTAGCCTAAAACAAACGAATAAATAAAAAAAAAACATAAAAAAATTGTAAATATATGAAATTAAAAAGAAATAAACACACGCACACAGACACACATTTACTATAATTTAGTATTGAGTACTCACCTTCGTTGAGCATCGGCTCCCCAGACGCGGATTTGACGATCATAAAGGGCGGTTTCTTGCTCCGTCAATTCCTCGCCGTTCATGTCCAGCTGTAGCCTGAAATCACCGCTAGCAATTCGTGAAACCCCTCTTTTAGAGAGAGAAAGAGGAGAGAGAAGAACCCTAAGATTTGAGCTTCACTGAAATGTGCTCAGGCCGTGGTAGAGGAAAAGACTGCTAAAGAAGATATAAGAAATTGAGAAACAATTTTTATTTGAAAATAGAATAAGCGTTGGTTAGCATTATTATATATTACGCGTGGTTCCAAAATGCGCTTCTAGTTTTTATTTATATCTTTATTACTTTTATTTTTTTCCTTGAACCAATTTGAAATATTGAGGCCAAATAAAATACTACTACAGTACTACTATATCAATAAATTATAATATCATAGTTTAAATAATTTAAACAATATCTAATACAAGAGAAACCATTTTAGTAACTAAATAATTAATTAAATTATATCGAATACAAACTAATCCGACGTATGTAACTGAACGACGCCTTAATCTATTCATGCGTCCATTAATAAATTATATATCATAGAATGTAAGTCATTCTTGATTACAACTGAAACTAATATTACAAGAGCTCGTTTGCCCCCTAACATAAGATTAGTCGAGATAAGACTAAATATTTCTCATGCAAACTTAATTGCATTGTTGGACTATGAGAGCTTGATTCAATAAATAATCTTTCCAGTAGCTAAGCTTAAAGTCATTTTTTAATAACTATCGGTCGATCCAAAAGTTATTAAACTAACTAAATTTTCAATAAGATTCAATTACGGCTAGTTTTACTAACCAAACGAAGCCTAAAGAGATTATAAACTAATATAATCATTTCGACATTCATCCTTGTGGATTTTTAATTCAAAAAATCTCTGCGAAATCGATGAGTATCTCTAACAATGAGACATTTTATAAACAATCCCTATATCGATAAATTAATACTGTCTAGACTGACAAAATTCTATTAATTTAGCAAAATAATAAATTATCAAACTAATAATTTAGTATGTTTTTAACGAGTCGCGATCAAAATAAATTATTATTTAAGCGAAATTATTAATTTATGCAGATGTTGCTGTATATCCAAACAATTGTGCATTACAAAATTTAATAGAATATACCTAAGCAACATCGGAATAAGTTGTTGATTTCTCGATAATATATACTGTCCTCCCGTCGCTTCCGTGTTGCCTAATAACATTTTTAGACCTACAAATTTCGTCGAGACGAGTCAATTTTTCGATTTCTTCTTCTTAAAAAAAAAGGGTTTAGTTACATTTTACAAGAATTAATCAAAGAGTCTTAATTGAAGAACTTAATACAAACCTGGGTTCTGACCATCTATTATCATGTGTTGTTCCCAATTTCTTGACATGGCCACTGATCCTTGTATATATATATTTTCTTGATTTGAATTGAAATTTTCTTCAATCTCTCATCTTTGTGCAATTGGGCTATTTCTAATTATACTAATTTTATGATTTTTAATTTTGATTTATTTTATTTTTGTTCATTTATTACTAATTATATGATTCGTTCACTATATATATGTTACTAATAACAATGTTGGATGTATTCAATTTATCTGTACTAATTAATTGTGGAAACAACTTTTGGGATCCAAGAATATAATCGAAATAAGGTCTTCACCATTGAGATTATAATTATGTTGAAAAATGAATAGGCCCCAATGTATTTAATGACGAGTTTAAGGATGTTTAATTAATGAGTTTCTTAAGTTATGAATTTTGTGACGATTTGTTTTATATAATATTAAAAATAAAAAAAGTTATGAATTTATGCTTCGACTCCATATTCTTGAAACGACATAAATATTATACGAGAGTGTGTGACTAAGTTTATAAGATGTTAAAGAGTTTATATGTTTTTTCGAAGTATTTGACATTTATTTTTCTTCTAAAAGAATCTTAAAAATTCAAAAAATAAGTTATTTGAAATGTTATAAGATATTTTTTTAAAGTGCCTATAAACCCTCTATTTTATTTAGGATATTAAAAATCATAAAAATAACTCCAAATATTAAAAAAAAATATATCAACTTCAACTTATCAACTCCTAAAATAATTTATTAAAGGACAAATAGCAAATAGGCCCATGACAAGGGCACTTAGAGGGTGTTTGACTAAGCTTATTTTAAACAGCTGATAAGCTCTTACGTCTGATAAGATGTTTTAAGAGCTGATAAGCTGTTACATCTTATTTTTATGATTAATTTTTAGAGTGTTTGGATAATGAGCTTATTTCTTATTTTTACTCATTAAAAGATCTTAAATAAAAAGGTGGGGTAGATGTACTTATTTAAAAAGATCTTATTTGCTCTCCAATAGCTTATTTTAAAAAAAAATTAAGATCTTTTCCTAAAAATTTACCAAATACTTTGGAATAGCTTATAAGTTCTAAAACATCTTATAAGCTCCTTTTAACATCTTATAAGCTTAGCCAAACACTCTCTTAATTAAAAAAAGGACATCCAACTTTTTTGTTTTTCAAATAAATCCAGCTCATTCAAACTTATTTGCAAATAAAGAAAATCCCTTTATATATACCAAAATTACCCCAAATTCATTGAAACCCAATTCAACTCCAATTTCATGATTTACACTTTTTTGTTGACTTTTTTTTTTCTTAAAAAAAATATTTTAATTAATATTACTGTCTTGTACTTTGCAGAACGGGAACTTCATGTTTTAATTATTTCATTTTTGGTTTTTTTTTTTTTTTTTAAATATCGAATTTTGTAATTATTTGATGAACATAATAACACATATTTTGATTATTGTACTCGTTTGTATATTCATCGTCAAAATCACCATCATTACCTTACCAAATAATACTAAAGAATAAAGTAAACAAAAAAAAAAGAGAAAAAAGGGAAAAAAAAAAAAAGTAAAACCCATATTCCCGTCCACTAATAATGTGATTAAGGTTTAAATTTTATTCATATGTGAGGTTTTAGATAATTAATTTATATTCCATCAATCATAATTACTTTTAATACACACTTTGATCAAATAAATAAAAAAATCTGAAAAGATATGATATATGTCCAAATATAATGAAAAAAGATATATACACCAATTGATCCCTGCCATTAATTATTTTATCTACATTTCTATAGAAAAATAATTCTAACAAATGAAATGACAAATTATTAACACAAATATATGTTCAAATATAATGAAAATAATAAATACATCTTTTTTCGAATTATATAAATATAAAATAAGCACCCCTTAAAAACTAAGAAGGAAAAACGAAAAAGAAATAAAAAGCCGTGGGACCCAGCAAATAGAGAGTCTCCAAATGAAATCACATATTTAGGAAAACATTTAGGAATTTGGTGAAAATCTCTAAATTTGCATACCCACTAGAACTCTTGTTGGTCTTGCCTTTTTTTGCAGAAGTTCTATAATTTAGAGCCCAATGGAGTATAGAGCCTCCATTGGGGATGCCCTAAAGGACGGGAACTTCAATTTTTTTCCTTTTTTTCATGCCCCACGTGCTGCACAGCACGATCTACCTTCTTTTTTTTTTTTTTTTTTTTTCTTTTTTTTTTCCCCTTGTAAAAGTAATATGAATTGGCCATAAAAAATGTTGTGTTTGATTTCAAATTTGTCGAACGATCTTTAGATTCTAAGTTTTCGATTTATTTTAGTTGAGAGAGTTTCGATTTTTTAGAAAGTTAGAAAATTGACAAATAAGTCTACCGCTGCAAATAAGTCAATTTTAGTAAAAATCCCGCTACAATTAACAATTCAGTTAAAATAAATACACTCTAGCCATAAGTTCATAACACTAATGGTAAAATATAAATTTATTTCTTCATTTACCTTTCCTATAAATTCCTTAACACTAGTGGTAAACCGACGTCGTAGCAACCTACACAAGCAGCGTACCCACCATTTTTCATTGGGTGGTTATATACGCATACATCATTTTGGCATACAAGCGTTTTTTTACATAACCTTTTACCTATTTACTTTAAATTCTTATCATTTTATATTTTTTTTACCAAATCCTATAATCCTATAAAAACCGAATTTTAACATTCAATTCAAAAAAAATTAGATATTCAACAATCCAATAGACCAAGTACTAATTATTTTTCCCAACAAATAATTAAGTTAATAAATCCTCAACATAGAGTTATGTTTTAATAAGGATTCTACTAATTTAATTAATGAGTGTTTCACAAGGTATTAGAAGAATCCTTAATCCTAGTCCTAGTTATTCTCCACTAATTTAATTATAAAGGGTAAATTACAAATACCTCGGGATATGGCCAATTTATAAAAAAATCCATCTTCTTTGGATAATTACATCCACCCCCCTCAACTATTTTTTTTCTTACACCTCCACCCTTATGGTGTCAAATTCAACATAATAATCTAAATTTTTATGGAATGTGCTCTGGGTTGTACTCGTTTTCAGTAAAAATACAGTTTCTGATGCACCACAATCTGATATATACAAGCAAAAAAACACATATTATGATCATCTTGCTTCAAAATGTAGAGTTCGAATGGAATAAAACGGGTGCAAAAGTGATAATATTCCATATAATCTCGAAAATTCCACTAAATTTGAGGAGTTGAGGGTATAGTTGTAATTATCCAAAGAAGAGGGGGTTTTTCTAATTTTACCCAATTATAAATAACACCTTCCCTCCAACTCATTATTTATTCCCCGAGTTTCAAATTTCCCAAAGTTCAAATAATTAGGGCTTTCTTTTCTGCTTCTCAAATCTGCGCCGGCGCTAGGCAGCCCTTTCACCACCGTCTTCTCCATCAAATCGACTTCTCATCCCCTCTGCTCCGCCGTCTCTCAATCGAGTCACCCCACGGCGTCGTTTCGAATATTTCCGAGTTAAAGTTTAGCTCCTTCCTTGTTGTTTTTCTCAAATCCCGCAATTCGTGCTCATCTCCGCCGTCTCATCGTTCGATTCAGTCCGGCGGCGGCGTCACAAAACGATGTCTCGGAATTTGGTTGCAGAATTGGGGAAAAGCGGCGGCGTATATATACCTCCTTTTAAATCGTCGAGAATAATGGAGAACATCGAGGAGGACCAATACCAGAGACTAACGTGGGACGCACTGCGGAAGAGTATCAACGGGTTGGTCAACAAAGTCAACGCCGCCAACATCAAGAACATAATCCCCGAGCTGTTTGGTGAAAATCTGATACGAGGGAGGGGTTTATTTTGCCGGTCGTGCATCAAGTCTCAGATGGCTTCTCCGGGTTTCACGGATGTATTCGCAGCGTTAGTCGCTGTGGTGAACACAAAGTTCCCGGAAATCGGCCATCTTTTCTTGCAGAGGATAATGTTGCATTTCAAGAAAGCGTACAAGCGCAACGACAAGCCACAATTGATCGCGGCGGTCAAATTCATCGCGCACTTGGTGAACCAGGGCGTAGCTCACGAGCTTATTGCTCTCGAGCTGCTGACTCTGCTTCTTCAAAACCCGACGGAAGACAGCGTTGAAGTGGCTGTTGGATTCGTTACGGAGTGCGGGTGCTTTCTCCAGGAGCATTCTCCTCGCGGAATGCGTGCTGTGTTTGACCGATTTCGCGACATCCTCCACGACGGTGATATAGATAAACATGTTAGGTTCTTGATCGAAGGGCTGTTTGCGTTGCGAAAAGCCAAGTTTCAGGGGTACGCTGCTATACGCCCGGAATTGGATCTAGTTGAGAAAGAAGATCAATTGAGTCACGAGGTTTCTCTGTCTGATGAGATAAATCCTGATATTGCCGTAGATGTTTTCAAGGTTGATCCGAATTTCTCGGAGAATGAGAAACGATATGAAGAATTGAAGAAGCAAATTCTACCAGGTGAAGACGAAGAAGACGACGAAGAAGAAGAATCTGGTCAGGATGAAGATTCGGAATCGGAGATGATGAAAATAACGGATTTGACAGAGAGGAATTTGATCGATTTTCGAAGAACTATATACTTGACGATTATGTCGAGTGTTGATTTCGAAGAAGCAGGGCATAAGCTATTGGAGATAATGAGAATGGAGCCTGGTCTGGAGATGGAGCTCTGCGTCATGCTGTTGGAGTGCTGCAGCCAGGAGAAAACCTACGTTCGTTACTACGGACTTCTCGGGCAGCGGTTTTGTACGTTGAACAAAGTTTACAAGGAGTGTCTCGAGAAGTGTTTCGTCCAGCAATACTCCGCGGCTTATCGAATGGAGACGAATACAATAAGGAACGTGGCAAACTTCTTTGCGCATTTACTCGCCACAGACGCACTTCCATGGCATGTTTTGGGGTACATACGGCTGTCTCTAGAGAATACAAATTCTTCTTCTCGTATTTTCGTTAAGTTTCTCTTTCAGGAATTGTCCGAGCACCTCGGAATCCGCGCTCTGAACCACCGTCTGAGTAGAGACTCTTTCGACTCTATTTTTCCAAAGGATAATCCACAGCACACTAGGTTTGCTATTAACTTCTTCAGTGTGATTGGGCTTGGAGGGATCACAGATAACATGCGCGAGCATCTCGAAAACATGCAACGGCAAAAGGCGGCTATCTCCGAGCCAGATTCTGAGTCACGTGAGAGTGGAAGAGATTATGAGTGCAAGAAGAAGAGACGTAGAAGGAACTAGCGATGATCTGGACAATCAAACTTACTTCAGCTGCACCCGTTTTTAAAAACCACGTAATTTTTAGAGAAATTAGAGATTTTGTTATGCTTTTATTTATGATCTACCATGACTAGTAGGATTCTTTATAAATCTTTCTCGTATACCACATGACTTTTGCATATGATCTACAATGCATATGTTTTTTAAAAAATATTTTTCGGGCAATTCTTGTTTCTGCTTTGCAGTGTGTTAATTTGTTCTTCTACTCCTTTGATCAGTTAATCTAATTGCAATATTTGTTTTTATGTTATTCTTAATTTTTTATCAGTTTTTTTTTTCTTCCCTTTATGTTTTATTTCTTGATTTAATTTGTAGTGTCCTCACATGCTATTTTATGGGCCTCGGTGCGGGAAAAAGAACCGCAGCTCTTGCCATCGCCTCATCAGCTTTACGGGTAATATTGGATTTTTTGTTTTCTTATAATCCAATATGTCTGTTTGTATAAATGAAGGTAAATGATTTCTATTAATTTAGGGAGTAAATAGATAGTTTTGTTAGGTTAACTAGCATTACAATATCTGGCAATACTTGACAGCTTATGAATGTCAATAACAATTCATTAGATATGACAAAATTAAGGAAGACGAAAATTACAAGTTTCAGCTGTTCTTATAGTATTTGAAATTCAATAGCGGTTCATATTGGATAACGATTTACCGTTCTCCGAAAACAAACAAAAACATTAAACGAAAAACTATTATCCGTACATCTTTCCATTTCATTCTTCTAATTTCCATTGCTTAACTAATTTTCTTTCTTCTCCAAATATCGTATAAAGGTTAACGATGATCATGTATCGACTATTGATAGCCTCTAGCGAGCCTCAAGGGAAACAACATGCCTAGCATCCCCGATATAAAGCGAATGCTCTCCCATAGGAACCCTCCGGATTCCCGACTCGTCCACCACGCTCATCTGCCTACAAACATGGATTTTCACGGCAACCCTCTGCCGCCCTCCGGCCGGGAGGCTCACCTTCTCGAACGCAACCAACTGCTTCTGTGGGGCCCAATGGCGGCCGCCGTCCGACGGTGGGGACGAGTACACGAGCAGCGTGTGGGACCCGCCTCTCGGGCCTGCGTTCTCCACGTCCACGTTAACCCCAAGAAACAACTTCTTGCATTGCGCATGACTCGTTCGGACCAACTTCATGTTGCTCAATGGTGCCGTTCCGTTGGGGTGCAACGGAACGGTGAACACCGCGGGTGCGTCGACAACCGTGTGGAGGAATCTCGTGTAGCTCAATCCGTGCCCGAAGGGGTACACCACGGGCCCTTTGTAGAACCGGTAAGTTCTTCCCGGATAGTTTCTGGACGGGTCGGATCTCATGTCCATAGTTGTCATTGGCAAGTTGTTTAGGTATTCTTGTGGGTACCAAGTCATTGGAAGCTTCCCACCTACACAAATTAATTTAGTTTCTATTCTATTCAATATATAGTTTATTGTGTTCGACACCCCTGTATTTTCTTTAATTGCTAAAAAACTCCCCGTGTTATTGATTCAATTTTTTTTTTTTTTATTTATCAAACTGCCCCCTAAAATCTCACTAGATAGAGGGGTTTCTTTAGCGATTAAACAGAGGGGTACTAAATGCAATAAACTCAATATGTACATAATACAATATATTAAAAAAAATATTATTTGAACCTGGATTGTGTGTTCCAAAGAGGACATCAGCAATGGCAGCTCCTCCAGCTTGGCCTGGATAGCCGACCCAAATAATCGCACCGATTTTATCGTCATTTTGGGCAAACGAGACATCAACGGGGCCACCGCTCATCAGCACTAAAACGGTGGGCCCTTTCGAGGCGGAAGCAACTTTAGATACGAGCTCTTGTTGACGCCCCGGTAGCAGAAGCCCTTCCCTGTCTAGGAACTCGGCCTCGATCGACTGGTCGAGCCCCATTACTAGAACAGTCGCATCTGCTTGCCGCGCAGCATCAACCGCTTCATTGAAGAGGGCATCGTTAGCGCAAGACACGTTAGCGCAACCTACCCGATGAATTGTGCTCGTGTACTTTCCTATTCCTTGTAATGGAGTCGTGTATCCACACGGAACACCTAAACGCACATCATAAAAAACGAACACGTTAAAACACCCAAAAAGAAAAAAAAAATACTATAAATATCAAAACAAAAACGTGCAACAATTTATTTAATTGTTTTGCATTCTCGTACCTGCGTAATTGCCTATCATTGTGGCGGTGACGTCTGAGTTAGGCCCAATAACAGCGACCGAATTATGTTGTTGTCGAGAGAGTGGCAACGCGTTGCCGTCGTTTTTTAGTAAAACAATGCCCTGCCTTGCTGCTTCCAAGGCGAGTTCTTGGTGGCTTGACGTGCACACGTCTTCCGGGCCAAGTTTACCGTATGGCTGGGCCGACAGCTCGCCATCAAACATCCCGAGTCTCATCTGAACTCTTACGGTATTGGACAACGCACCGTCTATATCCGATTCATTTAATAGCCCACGTTGTACCGCGTTTTCCGTGTGTACCGCTAGGAAAGGCCCACAGTCCAAATCCAGACCTGAAAGATCGTAACACAATGTAAAACCCGAACTATATACAGTAGATCGAACTACATACATATTGGTTTTAAGGGTTTTTTTTTTTAATAAAATCGTATGGTGTTATTCAACAATTTATATCGAACCTGCTTTTATCGATACTGCTGCTGCTTCTTCCGGCGTCCGTGTATAGTGTTGATTGTCGAATAAGACGCCAACGGAATCGCAATCGGAGACGATGTATCCATCGAGACGCCAATCACCTCGTATAGTTCCTTTGAGAAGCTTAGGATCGGCGCACGTCGGGATGCCGTTAACTTGATTGTAAGAACACATTACACTTGCAACATTGCCATCCTTCACACAACTTTTGAATGGAATGTTGAATGTATCTTTCAAATCTTGCTTGCTTACCTGCACATACATTAATAAATTGTTAAATATGTCAATGTGACTTTTATATTTGAATATTGACGTCATTATTGCATCATTAATTATTTAATAATAACGAAAAAAAAAGAGTTTCAAATTTGAACATGAAAACATAAACAGTTCGATCTCTATAAATTAATATAGTCGGGACTAGCAAAATTTTATTATTTAGGGAAATATTAAATTATCAAACTAATAAGTTAGTAGGTTTTTACCAAGTCGGGATCGGAAGAAACTATTATTTAAGTGAGATTATTAATTTATCGAGGTTCTAATGTTTATATTTATATACCTGAGCATTGAAGTGGAACCTATCAACGCCGTTCCAGTTATCAAGATCGTACGCCGTGTAGTGCTTGCAACATGCCGCCACCTTCAGCCGGTCACCGTCGCTCCCCTGTAAACCTCTAACATACCTCGCCGCGTATTTTCCGGCAACCACCGGATCTTCGCCGGGAGTTTCCTGTCCTCGGCCCCACCTCGGGTCCCGCAGTATGTTCACGTTGGGGCTCCAGTACGTCAATCCTGACGCCCCGCCATTGTACATTGCTCGCCCCTCGTCCGATACCACCTGCACTCACAAGTTAGTGGGTCATTAATTAACACAGTCGGGACAAACAAAATTTTATTAATTTAGCGAAATATTAAATTATCAAACTAATAATTTAGTACGTTTTTACCGATTCAGGACCAGAATAAATTATTATTAATTAAATGAGGTTATTAATTTATCGAGGTTCTACAGTATAATCTTACTTTTCCAATCTCTTCCCACAAGGATTCGTTGAAAGAGGCGGCGGTGGTGATGACCTGCGGGAAGCTGGTGGCGCCGGGAAATTGGCCGCCGAATCTCGTCCCCGGTCCCACATTTGAGACGCCGTGAAGCGCCTCCGACCACCACTCGTAGCCCATGATCCCCAGCCGCGGCACAGCTGCGGCGTTATTCACGAGCAGCCTCACCTTCTCCTGCAACGTCAACCGTCCGATCAAATCCTTCACTCTATCAGCCGTACCGAAATCGGTTCGACAAAATGCCAATTCTCTAGTGGCCGAATCTTTTGGGTCGCAGGCGAACGGCGGCCTAGAGGCAGAAGTTGCCAGAGTGAATAAGAGAAGAATTAAGGAAAAATAAACGTTAATAATATTTCTCCTCATATTTTTTGAAGCTAAGGAATAAGCTAAGGGAAAGTGAATTAAGTGATTATGCTTTTGGAAGCTGCAATTGGTGTGTCTATGTGGTTCTATGTATATGTATATATATATATACACAATATGTACATATATATAGTTTTGTCCATGCACATGCATGCATTGCTTCTTCTTATGTTTCATGTTTAATTTTGCCAACTTAAATTCACATTAACTCTCAAATTAAATGAGATATATTGTTTCTTTTAATTTGTGTCTTTCAAGCCTAATAAATTTCGTTGACTCTCAATTAAGCACAACGTAACATTATTTTACTCGAATTGACTTCTTCAACTCTCAAGAAAAAAAAAAAAAGAAAAAAAAAATGGAAGTTGCAAAAACGGGTGGAATTAGCCATTCACATAATATAACTCCTAAGTGGCATTTTGAGAGTTAATATGATCACACATTTTGACAAGAAGCATCACACTTCCCCTTATTTCAATTTTGGTAAAATTCATTTTGCACCTATCTAATATGTGAAATGTATCATTTATATATCCCGATGCATAGAAAATATCAAACGCCTTGAATTGTTGTTAGCCACTTCTGTGATTCCGTTAGTCAAACTCTTTGATTGACTATTGCAAAGAGAACTATTGGCTATTTATGTTTTTGACGAAAATACCCCAAAAACGTCTATATTAATGTTGCTTAGTTTTGGCCGTTTCACACCATATTTTTCACTCTTTTCAGTCTTCTTTTTCACTTTATTCAATCATTTTTCTCTTTTTTCAACCATGTTTTCTATTCTTTTTGTATGCATAAAAAATAAAAAAATCGAACTCATATACGCAAAACCCACAAAAAGAAAACTGAAAACTCCTTAAATTTAAAAGAAATCCTAAAATTAAAAGAAAGCCCTAATTTGAAAGAATTAGAAAAACAAAGGCAATGTTTGGAACCGTTTTTATTTTGTTCTCACTGTTTCCCCAAAACAAAATGGGATTTATTACACTTTTCAAATCATTTTCTCAAAACAATTTCAAAAGTTTCTCTCTCCTCCAGACATGATGTGACTGCTACAGTAAAAAATGTCTTCACTAAAAAACAAATAAACATCACTTCACCTTTCAATTTTCTTCTTCAAAAATATCTTTTTCTAACACCTTTAAACATGATTTGACTTCTACAGTGTATTTTGTCTCCTTCCAAAATACAAACAAACATTACTTTCATTCTCAAATTATTCCCCCAAAACATATTTCCTCAAAATGAAATCAAAATAAGATCCAAAACGGTTCCAAACATTGCCAAAGCTTTTCATACTAAAATCCCCCAAAACAGAAAACTGAAAACACGAAAATCGACAAAAATCCCTAATTTGAAAGAGCACTAAAAATCGTTAATAATCCACAAAAAATACACCTCATTTTTACGTAAAATTGTATCCTTAACCATCTAAGTTCATTTGATTAAAGAACCCCTAAAAAAATTCAGTGTACCCGAAAGTTCATCCTATAATCGATAAAAAAACGAAAAATCCTAAGACCAAATTTGTACACTCAGACCAAGAGTTCCTCTTTCTAATGTGCTCATATAAGAGTTTTTAAGCAAATTTCAAGAAAACTTTGAAATTCATAATAATTTTGTAGGTTTTGGCAAGTGTAATTTTATGCAAGTATAAAAAATCCTCCTTTATATAGTTACAAAGAATCACTAGTGACAACAGTAGTATTACTGATTTCGTGTTTGCAGAAGTTTTTGAATTTTTTTTTTTTTTTTAACTCTTCATAAATATAACCTTTTGTTTTACTTCTCTTAAAAATAAATTTAGCTTTGAGCCAATGACGGCTCGACACGTAGCGTCATTAACTACGAGTTAGTGAATACTCTGAAGCCGGGAAAACAAAATTCAATTATTCAAAGCAGAAATCAGTTATATTTTTCCCTTTCTCTCTCCTCAACATCTTCTTCTTCTTCCTCCTTCTCGTATTTCTCTCTGTCTATACTTCTCAGTTCCAGATTGGGATTAGGGTTAGCGTTAGGGTTTCAAGCATTCGTGATTTTCCGTGAGTTTTTACACAAGTCCGGCCGAAATGGAGGAATCCGTGGGCGAAACCCTAACAATCGACGGTTTAGAAGATGATCTTATACATAGCATTCGATCTCAGTCGACTGCCGGCAAAATCATTCGCTTCGGCGGCGCGTGTTTTCCGCTCATGGAACGCTATCTGCAATTGCATTTTGTCTTCCCCTAAACTCTCCTCCGCCGTCTCTCTTAATGCCTTCCTCGAGTTGCTACCCTTTTTCCCCCCTTTTATGTTTTTCGAGTTTAGAGAACCGATTTCTTTCTTTTCTTGTATTTGATTTTCATTTGTTTCTCTTGCATTTTTGGTCTACAGAAAAAGGGATTTTAATTACTTGGTGAATTGTAGGTTGATTGGTTAACCAACGAAATTGAATTTGCTTTTCTCATGAATTTTTTTTTTCTTCTACCCGATTTTATATGAATTATATAACTTATAAGCAAGTGATATTTGTGGCTGTGGAATTTTATGTCTTAGATATGGTGTATAATAGCAGGTAATACGATAAGAAGGAAATAATTTCGTAAACAACCATGAGAACTATTTGTATGGTTGTTAAGATATGCGCTCACAGATAAGTTTATAGAGGTGAAAAGTGGTTGTTAAGATATTGGATGGTTCCTTTTTCCGAGTTTTGCGAATACTTATCTGAAGGATCTGAACTATTTGTCTAGGTACAATGGACTGAGCGTAAAGTGACACGTGGCATTATTCTGACAGTTGGATTTTTGCCAGGACTGATGGTCCATTTAGCTCCTTTATTCCGACGTGAGGTAAACGTGATTTACATAGTCTCCTGTGGAAATTGGATTTCATTTCAATGTCTGAATGGAATATAGTGGATAAACTGCATCCTCTCCATCAACTTTAACGAATGACTTTTTTTAGTGTAGATTCAAGATTGTACCGATTGATAGAAGTAACTTTTGCTCTGTGCGATTGATCAATCAATAGTTGAATATTGTATTTTAGATATTGACTTGTGGCTTGGAAATATAAGGGACCTCAAGGCTTGGAAATTGATATCGAAGCTGCATCATTTGATTCACATTCTTCATCTCGTGTCGGAATCATTCTCTTTGCTGTGAGTTGAATTTTCTTGTATTTTTTTCTTGTTTATTTTTAATCTCCCTTTTCCTCTGACAAATTTTATTGTGCTTATGTCTTATTATCTTCTGAGTTGAGTTCCGTGGACTCTTTCTTAGTTTTGGAAATTGTGGTTCCCTTCAATAATCGGTTTAGCAAAAACTACTCTCTTGTTGCTATTTGGTTGGATTAAAAGTTTGTTGAGTGTTTATTACTTTGTCCACTGTTGTCCCAAAAAAAAAAAAAAAACGAAAAAAGTACTCTTTAGGTGTGCATTCTGAAAATTTTGGTTATTTTTAAGGGTTTTAGACACTTGTTACATATTTTAGTAGGTTTCTTTGTTCAAGTTGTTTCTTATATATGAACTGAATGATATGCTCACTGCAACCAGAGAAACAGTTCCTCAGCATCTTGGGGGTTATGCTATTCTAGATGATTTACGCAATCAGGTATCTATAATTGACATTCGGAATTTTAATCATAATTTATTCTTTTACTGGTTCATCTCTAACAAGGATAGTTGAGACAGGTTGGCGAAATTATTCAATTTTCTGTTGCGCCTCTCTATGTTAGAGTAACGAAAAGTAGAAGAATCGCAGATGGAACGGAAAGAGTAAGAGAGATGCAATTTCACGAGCTCCATAAAGTTTTGAAGTAAGTTCTATTTTGTTCTGCTCGACTCATTTACTTACAAACTCTCTTTCTTGATGAGGCGAAAATCTCTTGCCTTATTCGTCTTTGTAAATTGTCCAGAGAATGAGCAACCTTTTCTTTTCGGCTATTCGTATAACCTATCTAATGAAGAAGACAACTCTTTACACTGCAATGTTCATTCTTACAGCGCGGTTTACCTGGTTATGTCGTACCGTAGTCCAATACAGAAAAGTAGTAGGATTTTATCAAGTGGTGTTAAAGATTGTTCAGGTTCACGTGTAGTGAAGCTTCAAGATTAGTGATGATGGATGGCCTCTTGTAAATTCTTTCTGAACAATGTGGGCTTTTTTGCTATAAAGTACAACTATTATGAATGTGCAGTTTCTTTCTACTCTCCCTTTTGAAATATTTTCTTCTTGTGATTAATTTTTGCAGGTAAATTACGATCACCCCTGAGGTAAGGTCAAATTACGAAAAAAACCCTCATGTTTGGATAATTACAACAACCCTCTCAACTATGAATCTTCTTACAAGTCACCCTTGTGGTGTCAAATTCAACATCTCGATTCCGTGAAATGTTTTCTACTTTGTGCTCGTTTTGTTCAAAAAGACAGTTTCAGATGTACCACAATCTGATATTTACAAGCCAATATACATATGTTAATTGTTATGATCATCTTGTTTTTAAATGTGGAGCTGGAATGAGATAAAACGGCGAGTACAAATTGGAGAATATTCCATATAATCTAGAAGATTCAACTAAGTTTAACAATTCAATGGTAGACATGTAAGAAGATTCATAGTCGAGGGGTGATTACAATTATTCAAACATGAGGGTTTTTTTTTCTTCGTAATTTGACCTTATGCATATAATCATTTTTGTCTTATATAATTAAACTTTAAAGGAGGTTTGAATAATTTCTCAATTTTGAGGGACCTAGTTGTAAATAAAGTTATTCAGGAGAAGGTTGGTGTAATTTACCCAAGAAATGAATTATCATTTACTGCGTTTTCGACATATTTAACTTTGGTTATCAAATTTTTTTTTTAACTTCAATTACACTTTTTTATTTATTTATTTAGGAAAACTACAATTACACTTAATCTAAGGGGATAGTTGTAATTTATACTTATATTATCTCCCTAAGAAAACCCAAAAAAATAAAATAAAGAATCAAATATCAAATATCCTAAATTATTTTAACCAAAAAAATACAATTCAAAATACTTTAATTTTCTTATTTATTATCTTAAATTGTTTTATTTTTGTGGGGCCAATTATCGCCAACCCCATGAGTAAGGTCGAATTATAAAAAAATCTTCTTATTTGGGTAATTACGATCATCGCCTCACTATGTAATGTCTTAAGAAAAACTCCTCGATCAGTAGATAAATTTGACACTATAAAAGTGGATGTATAAGACAATATATAGTTAAAGGGGTAGTCGTAATTACCCAAACAAGAGGGGTTTTTTAGTAATTTGACCTTACTTTAAGGGGGTGTCCGTAATATACCCAATTTTGGTTATTTCAGAAAAAGTAAGCAGCAAAATTGCAAGAGGCAATGGAAGAACAGCAGCCCCTTCGTTCGGCGAAGAAAATGGCGAAAGCCCTAACTGAATGCCAAAGTATTAGTGTTAGAATCGACGATTTAGGAGAAGATCTTATTCAAAACATTCTCAATCGGCTGCCGGCGAAATCATTCGCATCGGCGGCGTGTGTTAGCCGCTCATGGAACTCTATCTGTAATCGCGTTTTGTCTTCTCCTAAACTCTCCTCCGCCGTCTCTTTTAACCCTTTACTTGAGGTTTGCTGCTACCTTTTTTCCCCTTTTCAAATTTTTTTTTTTGAGTTGAGAAAGGAAATCCCAATTCTTCTCTATTTCTCTCCTGATTTTTACTAGTTTAACCAATTTGCGCCATTGCTGATTGTTTGTGGTATTAATTTTTGCCCCTTTGTTATTCATTTTCTGTAAAGGGGATTTTTTGGATGGTGTTGAGTTATTGATTGCATGTTTAGTTGGTGAAATTGTAGTTTGATTGATGGACCAAAGGAATTGAATTTGCTTTTTCCCATGAATTTTCCGATTTAAGTTACTAGAGTTGAATTCATTTTGCATGCTGGGAATTAGGTTTCTGGAATCTCTCTCTCTCTCTCTCTCTCTCTCTCTCTCTCTCTCTCTCTCTCTCTCTCTCTCTCTCTCTCTCTCTCTCTCTCTCTCTCTCTCTCTCTCTCTCTCTCTCTCTCTCTCTCTCTCTCTCTCTCTCTCTCTCTCTCTCTCTCTCTGTGTTAAATATTTTTTTTGAAACTTACAACATTAACACCTAATTTTACAATTTGATAGAATTTGTGAATTTTGTCCGTTATTCATGCCAAATGTAACTACTGTTGTTTCAACACCTCCATGTTATATCTTAGCTTGGGTTATTATCATTTCTATGGCGTGTAAAAACAACAGTAAATATGATGAGAAGGAAATGTTGTTTCTTGAAAATAGTAGTTATGTGCACAGACATTAGATGCAATTATATGGAAGGAATTAAACTCATCTGTTTCTCTCTTTCGTCTTTCCTAATTTTTCTTGGCTATCTCAAAGAATATTTTAATTTTCCGCTATGGTGATAGAATGCTGTGAACGAGGTTGTGGACAAGGTTTTATTGGAACCAATACGCCCTCATTTTGCTTTGGTCTCAGTTGGTCCCTTCTTTCTCTTGGAAGAAACTCTGCAACTGGTATGATTCCCCACTTTCCTCGTACATGTAATAGATTTATATGAGTGTATAAAGTACTTTTTTTTTATAACTAAATGGTTAAAGAAGATGATAATATTTTGCAGATTGAAGGAAAATTGGGTTCTGGGATTCCTATAATTATCAATGTGTCCGAGGGAATCATTGGCAGGGATGTACATACAGATCAGTTTGTAGAGGTAATATCCCAGTCTTATGTTGATTCTCAGTAAATTTTCTTTCACAGTCATGAACATCTAGGAAGTAATTTTATTGACCCATAAAGTTGTTACTTTATGCTGTGGTGCTTGTTCCTTGCTTTAACACTGTGAAAAACGGTTATTAAGATATTGATTTATTCACCTTGGTGTTATACTGTGAGGTAAATGAATCTTTTTTCGAAGTTTGCGTATGTGATTTGTCTGTATTATTGTCTAGGTACAATGGGAAGTAACTGTGGAAGATGATACTGCTGTATTACCAGATCAGCATGTGCAGCGCGGCATTATATTGACAGTTGGATTTTTGCCAGGGCTTAAGGCCCATGTAATTCCTTTATTCCAACACAAGGTAGACGTGATTTACATAGCCTTCTGGGACATTTTATGAAGGATTTTTTTGTGTTTCAGATTGTAGAGGTTATAAAAGTAATTTCACTCTGTGCTATTGATCAATTAGAATATAGCTTTGCTCTATAATTTTGAAATCTTGACTTGTGGCTATGGAAATATCAGGGACCTCAAGGCCTTCTTGTTGACAAATTTGTTACGGATATCAGAGAAGCGGCGTCAACTGTTTCAGATTCTGCATCTCCTGCCGGAATTATACTATTTGCTGTGAGTTGGATGATCTTATAATTTTTCTTGTTCATTTATTTTTTACGTTTTTTCGTTACAACAAATATCATGGTGCTTTTGTCATATTATACATCTGAGTCAAGTTCCTTGGATTTATTCCTATATTTAGGAATCGCCCGTCCTGTATATTGCAGTTCTCTTCAAGTTTCGTTTTAGAAAAAGCTACTCTCTTGTTATTATTTGGTTGGTTTAATGGTTCATTGGGTGTTTCTTACTCTGTCCATTGTTGGTAGAGGGTTTTAGACTTGCTTCTTATTTTTTGAACTGAATGATGTGCTAGGGCCGGAAAACAAACATCAAACCTGTTCTTCAAACAATTGGTAAGTAAACTATGTCTACATATTGTTCTTGCACACACATTATATTAATTTTTCTCTTGATACAGACCCATAATTTACCCGTAATTTTTCTCTTGACACTCGTTTGTTTTCCTTAGAGTATGCCTTTCCCGAAGATACTTTCATTGTGGGTGATGCAGATAGTCAATTCTTATATGGAAGGAATATCGGAGAAAATATTACAATGTCGCCTGGTTCCACTTGTGCTGCAGTTGCCTTAGTATTGACAAGGGATATGAACAAGCCTTTAGGTAGGTCATCTTTCATATTGGTTTTCTCGGCATATATTTTTTTTAACTTCAAACGTCATAGATTTGAGATTAATACCAAACTGTTGTACATGTTGGTGGATTAGTGGACACCAAAATGGTCTTGTATTTGTTTATTTATTTTCTTTATTTATGGAGTTAACAAATTTCGAAGATGAATATTTATTACGTAGGTATTGGGGAAACTAAATTTCATGTCATGTTATCAACTGGCGTATCACCAATTGGTCCTACATACAAGGCAAATTCTGTTAAACATAATAAAAGTTCGACATGGCTAACTGCATCGAGAGAAACAGCACGTCAGCATCTCGATGGTGAATCTATTTTAGAGGAAATTTACGATCAGGTATATCCATCATCTGAACCTAACTTTATAATTGTTACTTCGAGCAGACAACTGTTTGAATATAATAAAGAAGGTACGTATTAGTTGTTTGTCATAGTTTTCCTTAGTATGTAAATTTAGACAAGAAACTGGTTATCATAATTTGTGTTGTAGGTGAAATTTAGCATAGAAGCTATAATAAACCATCTTGTAGTTTACTTATTATCTGGAATAGTTTGAAACAATCAACTCTCACTCTTAAGCAGTCAATAGAGGTTTTCGTTTTACTTTTACTATTCATCCATGATTGTTGAGGAGGAAGAGGAACTAACAAAACTACCTTTGATGTTTGGTCTAATTACCAAAAAACCCAGTTAACTTTCGAAACTACAAATTACTCCATTGAGGTGTACATGACAAAAACCTTCCTCGGGGTCCGTTTGTTTTTACTTCACTAACACACCCATCAAAAGGTGCAACTATTGTTTCCAATTATTTTATGCTTTGTTTTCTTATTTCTTCGATTTCTTTGATCGAATAGGATCTACTGCTTGTACTTGTTGCTGGACAATTAACCAATTCCTTAAATGAAAAAAGTTGCAGAATGGAAACAAATATGAAGAGGGTATTAGTAATTTACAAACTTGGCTTAATGTTTTTCTTGGTAAATAGGTTTAACCTCAAATGTAATTTTTTTAATTAAGTCTTACTAGAGGGTATTTGTAACTTACAAATGTAGCTCGATTTTGTTTTTCTTTTTTTGTAAATAGGTAAAACCTCAACGATAATTTTTGCATGTAATCCTATTAAATATTATATAAATGGAAGTAGACTGTCGAAACTACCGTCCAGCTATGTTGCCGAGGTGACGTAATAATAAATTAATAATATAATATTGCTTCTATATTAACTGCTTTATGCCCTAAAAGAAAGCAGTTTGACATCCAAATTTTGCATATTTTCTTCATTTACTGGTTCAACTAATAAGGATTTATGTGACAGCTTGGAGATCGTATTCTATATCCCGCTTTCTATGTTGGAGTAACGAAAAGAAGAAAATGCTCCGTTGGGACTGAAAAAGTAAGACGGATGCAATTTCACGAATTCCATGAAGTTCTGGGGTAATAAACAAGTCGTATTTTATTCTGCTTTACTCTTTATTTACAAATTTCCTTTCGTGATTTTTTACTGTGAATTATTACAATTTTCAAGTATCTCATGAATGTACCAACTTGGAATCGGGTTAGTTCAATGGGTTCCATAATCGAGATCTAACTCACCTATTTGGATTCACTTTAGTATCTTCTGAAAGTATAATCTTGGTCGAGAAACAAAATAAAAAGTATGATAAAAAGTCTAATAGGAAGATAGATAAATCATCGAGCCAATTCAAAAGCATATATTGCATATAAATGTCACAATTTTGATGATGGCAAGTGGTGTTGATTTTCTCTACACATATATCTTTGATTCGCGTGAAACAATATGCATGCTTCATTCATGACATACTAATTTCGTGTGAAGAATCTCGACTTTCCTCTTCGCTTATTCGTCTTTTCAACTGTACAGAGAATGAATAACCCTTTTTTTTCCCTTCTATTTAGAGGAGATGAAGAATACCTATTTGTCAACTATCCCGGTATTAAAACTGGAGACCCCTTCCGTTTCTACATCTCCGACTCAAAAGCTGCTCTATCCTCCAGCAATGAAGTTTCTGATAAGCTCAGGCATCTGAAGTTAGATTGTGAGAGGAGAAACAATCACGCAAGCGGTGGTTTTGGTTATTCAGACAAGGTAAAAGTCTTCGGTGGCATCATATTTTCTTGCTGTGGCAGAGGTGACCCCTTTTTTGGACAACCTCGTATAGATAGCTCCACGTTCCTAAACAACTTTCCTGGGGTTACTTTTGGGGGAGCTTATTGTGCTGGAGAAATTGCTCGTGGGAATTTGGGCTTGTACGAACCAGACGATGAAGAACACAGCTTTATCCATTGCAATCAACATGTTTTTGGTGCTGTTTACCTAGTTATGTCGTACTTTCCTCCACCACGAGAACGGTAGACTTTATCAGGTGGTCGTAAGATGGTTTTAGTGCAGATGAAAAAGTTGGCAATTTTTTTTTTTTTTAAGGTTTTTGACGTTTAATCTGTTGCAACTGTAACGAAGCTTATACATTAGCAATGTCCTGTAAATTAGTAGAGTAGATAGAGAACATGGGTTTGTTAATGTCTTCTTGTGATTTATACATATTTCTTAGGATGTCTACTTACGGATTAGACCTTTCCGGAAATTGGAAAAATTATCGAAACTCTTTTCGAGGTTTCATTCGGGTCTAATACTTGGATAGCCTTTGATAAACCCCTTCGAAAATGGATTATCAGTTTTTCTTTGGCTCGTAATATGATCGTTCGTGTTTGGAAAAGCAAATTTTCTTTTTGTTTCTTTCAGAATATACTCTTTAAAGCTAACATGTCAAAAGAATCTTCAAATTGGTCTTTCTTAGTAAAAGTCTATATTCCTCGCTTTTGCTAATCACCAACGGCAACTAGGTGAAGAAACTTGTAAGTTATGAAATGTACGAATCACTGTTCTATGTTCCGATTTTCACTCAAATCTAAAGATTAAAAACATTAGGCTGCAATTGAGTTCAGGAGAGAGTAGTGTAAATAAAGTTCTAGAGAAGATAAAAAAATCATCTACTAGGTTTATTCGAATTTTTGGGCCAAATAAAAACTCGAGAAGGGTTCGTGTAAAATTTTCAAACCAAAGAGGATCTATAGGGTCTTAGCAAATGAGACCTCTTTGGCTGGAATTACTCTTAAGAAAATATGGAAAAATTGATCATCCTCATAACATAATCATCGCAACTCCCAAGTACGAAAAAAATAACCGCAACCATGAATTGACCCAACTGCAGCCTAAAAATCACGGAGAAAACGGAGGATGTTTAAAGTAATACAACTTACATATCTTCCTTAATAAGGAGACCATATAAATTCAAGAATTACAAAGAACAAAGAACTCCAAAAAAGCATTTCACATCCCATTCAATTTGCATCACAAACAAACCGGACTACACACAAAACCGAGTCGATGGGGGCTTTTGCATCAGTCTTACGGTTTTGCTTATTTCTTTTCAAGGAAAAAAAAAAAACATATCAGTTCATCGAACTACGAGTATTGAAAACTTCAGATAGAAATCCCCAAGGCTGCTTTCATCTTCTCAACTTCCAAATACACAGTCGAATAAGGTAAATACTCAGAGAAGTAGCTTCCGCTCAGATCGTTTATAGCAACTGCAAGTTTAGGTATCTCGAGTGTCTCCTCGTGAGTCAAAGTCCTGACAAATTTTGCGGGATTTCCAGCCCAAAGCTCACCGGTTGGTATTCTCCTACCTGGAGGAACCACAGTACCTGCTTCGAGGATAGAATGTTTTTCGACCAAAGAACCCTCCATGAGAATCGAGTGCTGCCCAATTATGCACTCGGGCTCGATCGTGCACGATCTCAACAGACTGTATGCACCAATTGTCACGTACCTTTCAATTAGTGTTTCAGCTGGCAGCCCTGTCAAACATGCAATTTATTTAAGCAGGAGCAACTCATGTGGTATTTACCATAAATGTTTTTGTCAACAGAAAAAAGAAATTAAACATATGAAACGGAATACACTAACATAGTTCAATATTAGATAGATATACTTTCAGAAACAATGCAGCATAATAATAGGCCAATATGGTGTATATAATAATTGTTATGGTTATTTGAAGCCTATATTCAATCATAGGTTTTAAATCAATGAGTTCAGGTTAGAAAAAAATTAATCCATGATTGATTTTTATAGCCACAACGGAAAAAATATAGAGAAAATAAACATCTACAGTGGCAGATTCTTACAAAGATAAATTGTCAGAAAATTCGGAAAAGGTAGACATCAACATTATTTTGCCCTCGAAAATAACCAACACTAAACTGCAGGTTTGTCCCTGCATCACTAAAGAGTCTGATACAACTAGCAGTCTAGCACAATCATATTTTATTTCGTAAGAAAATAAGCCTTCATATCGAACAGACGAACACTTGTGCCTTCCGTCTCACAATGCCAAAACTAAAATATCCACAGGATATTGCTCTCTCGACTACAACAGCACAACCAGATTGCCTCGAATTTATATCTTGATAGTTTTAAATAAGAAAATATATATGCTATTGCTTATTAGAAGTGAAGTGTACTACTGATGGCATGATAAGGTGACCCATCAGTGCCAAATTTATAACATGGTCACATTCATTAGTAACTCCTACAGATAAGGTGCACAATACAACATAATTTGGATATAGATAGTGTTTTAAAAGTGAAGGCACAAGGCACGTCATTTTATGTTTCTTGAGGCGGCTTAGGTTCCAAGGCTCATAAGACAGGTCACCATTTGGCAACTTTACAAAATCCACTTTTAAAAAAATTCAAATAAAGAAGGAATACAATATTCAGATAGAAAAAGCACGGAGTAACTTAAAGAAGAAACATATGCAGCTATTGCTCTTGGCACACAATAACATGTGTATTTCCTTTAGAGGATGAAAAACGAAAAAAAGATTAGAAGTTAATCAAAGAAGAAAAAATAAGTCCTAAATATCGGGCATAAGTTCTCTGAAAATATATAAGAAATACCAAGTAACCTGTCGCAAGACTAACATTGAGAGGACAAAATCCACAAAGGAGTGAAAATGGCCATCAGAGATTTGATAATTAAAACAGATATCGAAAATGTTCAGAAGAACCAGAAGAAGATTCACGAGGTTAGCAAACATTTTTACCAGTTCTGATCTATTTTGTTTCTAATGTTCTATTTAAATTAGTGTAACACCTTTAACTTTTTAGCTTATATGAAACTTGTATCCAAAGTCCAAGAAGAAACATTTTTGTAGCTTAACTGAGAATGCGACCCAAAAGCTCACTCATATACGCTAAAGAATTGGCATAGTCGCAATCATATTATCCCCTAGCAGTGACTGAAGCCACACCCTGCCTTCGCCACACAAGGAAAATGCCTTTCAAACACTGTTGAACACCCAACGTGCTTAACTATGTATCTTCTTCTTCCTCACATATTATGGATTAATTACTATTCATAGACCATAGTTCACTGACTTTCTCCGAGTCAAGACGATCTAAAAGCCTGAAATTTGTTAGAAAGTCATTCCAATGGAAGTATGTTTTGGAGAAATTTTCTACACCGTAGAACATTAAGGTTCAACCTTCACATTTCTTTTGAGCATGTTTTCCTGGAAACCCATTTATAACTTCTGTTTCTGCTACAGTTGAAAAGTCGGCTGATATTTTTGAAAAGGGATTTAAAAAGGTTTTCACTTGAAGCTTAACAAGCCAGGGGCCGATTTACCTATTGCTCAAGGGGGAGTATTCCTGTATTGTCGACTGTATGCCAAATTGTTTAAAGTCATGCAGAGTTCAAGTACCACAGGGCCAGAAATGAAAGCTGCCCTTATGCTTGGTGCATCAATTCATATGGTCCATTTGATCACTACGTTACACAACCAAGGCCATAACCACACTGGAAAACCGCCATTAATCAAACACCTCAAAAAAAAAAAAAAAAGAAAAACCATCGGTCTTTGTTCTTTTCTCATTATAATTCATCTTCTCTTCTCACAGGATTGATACTTCACCTTCATTTCTATTGCAAAAATAGTTTCGTAGTTTTCATTTAAAGTTGATCTAAAAGTCCAACGAAAAACTATCTTAAGGTTTGGAAAGCTAAAGAGATGGCTACTACTATTTTACAAGGCTAGAACTACAGATATTTTCTTCTTTAAACTACTCCACGCTCTGCTGCTCTTAATCGTCTCATATACATTTCAATAGATGAAGATAACGCAGGCCTTGGAGCTTATGCCATGCACTTAGATGCCTAAGCATGTTTCCTCGTGTGTTTATATATACAAACCGATCTGTAATCACGTCGTGACTAAGGGCTGAAAACTGAAAACTACCCTAGCTGCTAGCGAAGGCAAAAATGACAGGAAATTTGATGTTCAAGATTATTAACAAGAACGAAGCTTATTGAAAAGAACGACTAAGCTCGATATATCAGCACTCCAATTTTAAACCCTATACTTCGGCACGATTACATATACACCACAGGCATTTCACATTTTGAACCATACCCGAGAAACTTAAATCCATTTGTTCTTCTCATTTTTTCTTAATGTCCTAACAATTCAAAAGGTAAGGGAAATAAAACCCAAATAAGCATGTAAACCCTAAATTGAAAAAAAGGGGGAGAAAGACAGAAGGAAAGGAAAATCGTTGGCAATCTGGAATAATATTATCAGCATCTATTATACCACAATGTAAAACCAGATGTGCAACCATCAATGGCCAAGGTACAACATCATAAAAAAAAAAAAAAAAAAAAAACCTGACCTGTAGGAGAAGACCAAGCGGCGTGAATTACGCACCGTTCCTGTACGTTAGAGCAGAACCCAACGCTAATTTTGTTCAGGTCGCCCCTCAAAACGGCGCCGTTCCAAACGGAGGCGCTGTCCCAGACGACCACCTGGCCGGCCAACACGACGTTGGGCGCCACGTAAGCATCGACGGCGATCTTGGGGGCCCACTGTCCCAAAGGTATGATCTTTCTCTGGCCCCTGTAGTCCCATTTCACTCGATCTGCCGATTCCTTTATGATCGGAGCTGGCGGCGGCGGCGATGGGTTCTCCGCCAATTGGACTGCTTCTGCTGAGAAAGCACGGGCGGTGAGGGTTCGGGGCAACAGTCTTCTGGATAATCGGGCGAGTGCTGCCATTTTTGCCCTTTTTTTTGGTTGGATTAGTGTTGCAGAGGAAGGATTGAATTGGAAAGGGGTGGAATGCAAAATGGAGCTCAAAGTGTGTTTGTTGGAGACTGTATGGGAGTGTTTCGGGGAACGGGTCGGGTTCGAATCTGGATTTCGGATCTGAAATGTGAATTCTTTTTGGTAGTTCACAATTAAAATTGGTCAATTTTCATAATTTATGGGTAAATTACAAATACCCCCTGAGGTATGGTCAAATTACAAAAACACCCCTCTTGTTTGGATAATTACAACCACCCCTCAACTCCTCAAATTTCGTGGAATCTTCGAGATTGTATGGAATATTATCACTTTTGTACCCGTTTTATCCCATTCAAACTCTACATTTTGAAGCAAGAATATCATAATATGTGTTTTTTGGCTTGTATATATCAGATTGTGGTGCATCAGAAACTGTATTTTTCCACAAAACGAGTACAAACTAGAGCATATTCCACTAAATCTAGATGATTATGTTGAATTTGACACCATAATGGTGAAGATATAAGAAAAAATCATAGTTGAGGGGATAGATGTAATTATCCAAACAAGAGGGTTTTTGTTTTGTAAATTGACCATACCTTAGGGGGTGTTTGTAATTTACCCATAATTTGTTGGTTATTGAATCAACAGTTTATTCACAAGGGTATGAAAAGAAAAGGGGCAATTTGTTGTACCCCCTCTATAATAATTTCCTTTCAAATAAGGACAAGATATATTTCCCATTTTGCTAACAGTCAATCAGGCATTTTAACATTAATGATCGGACCAAAATACCCCTAGTATTGTACGTTGCAAGCTATATTTCCACCTTCTCAATCAAGTCGATCAAAAGTACCGCCTCTCTCTCTCCCATCCCTTCTCTATCTTTCCCTACTTTCTCACTCCTTTCTCAGAAACTAACATCGAACAACTTAGAAGACTTTTTCTTTGGATTTTGCTCTATATTCCTGCAATATTACTCTATATTGTTGCGGTGTTTTGCTTTATATTGCTGCTATTTTTGCTACGAGGTTGTGCTTAGAAGAAAAAAAGGCGAAAAAATAAGTAGTTCGAAACTAGTGTCGTACTTTGTGTTAAAAAAATGGGCGATTTTCCAGAATCTAGTTTTAATGTAACCATAATCTTTGTTTATTTTACACTTGTTCATACGAGGGCTGTTAAACGTAAAAGTAATTTGTTCAAAGTTTCGTTTGTTCTTAAAAACTAATGTAATTTTTTTTTTCTAAGCCTCATTTGTTTTACAGAATCTACTAACAAATAAAAAAAGTTAGGACCAAGAAAACTATTAAAATCAATACATATCCGCCTTTATTTGCTAATATAAATTTCATGCAAGAGATTGATTTCAAACCGCAACACCTTAACCATTTCAGCAGGACACATTTTGCTGATTTTCAGCTGCTGTTTATGGAGAAGAAAATCAGGACACCATTTTTTAAGAAATAAAACATTGATATTTAGAATATTATGCAAAACTATGACCCATAATATGTTTGTTTTATTATTGGAGGTAAAAAATAAATGAAAATCACCATAGCTGATTGTCAACTTTTTTAGGAATTAGAGGTAGTTCCAACCATTCAACATACAATTCACCAAGTAAAAAAATCATTTTTCTATAGAACAAAAATGCAAGAAAACGAATGAAAATCAACATCAAGAAAAGAAAGAAATCAGTTCTCTTAAGTAAAAAAAAAAGGGAAAAAATGTAGCACCTCGACAGAGGGATTTAAAGAGACTGTAGAAGAGTGTCTAGGAGAAGACAAAATGTGATTGTAGATAGGGGTGGTAAACGAGCCGAGCCGGCTCGCGAACTCGACGAGCCGGCTCGAAAAAAGCTCGAACTCGAGCTCGGGTTTTTCGAGCTCGAGCTCGAGCCTAAAATTAGTTGTTCGGCAGCTCGCGAGCCGGCTCGCGAGCTGCCTTCTCTTTTTTTTTTTTTTTTCTTTATATATATATATATATATATATATATATATATATATATATATATATATATATATATATATATATATATTCTTCTTCTTCTTCTTCTTCTTTTTATTATTATTATTATTATTAACTAAATAGTAAATAGTCTATAATAATAAATATATCTAGTATTTAAATAGAAACAAATCTATATTACTTAAATAATTCATAATAATATAAAATATAATAATAATAATAGAAAAAATAAAAAATATATATAACTAGAGTTCATTATTTATTTTATAATTTTTTTTTTATTTTCCTATGAATAATTTTTAATAAAAAAATGATTTTAATAAAAAAAAATAAAAATTAAATAAAAATTAAATAAAAATAAAAAAAATAAAAAAAAATTAAATAAGCTCGAGCTCGAGCTCGAGCCAAAAAAAATTGGCTCGATGAGCTCGAGCTCGAGCTCGAGCTAGACAACATGGGCTCGAGCTCGAGCTCGAGCTGGCCAAAAGAGCCGAGCTCGGCTCGTTCCCACCCCTAATTGTAGATAGAGTTCCTTGAGCGGCTCAAATGCGATTGCAAGTAGAGTTCCCCGTGAAAAAAATACATTGTGAAATGATTCGAGGAACGAAAATCAGACGAATTGAATTGGAACTAGTGCTTTCTAATAAAATATATTTTTGGAGGTGAAAATTTAATATAAATTATAATAGATGGACAAAGAAAATGTATAAATTTTGTACATTGGTATGACAAAAAACTTATTCCAAAACTAGAAATTATTGGATAAAAAAAAACAGAATTCGAAAATTCTACTTTCTATTCACATAAATTATAAAATACATACTTGATGATGTTAGGTATTAGATCACCTTAAGTAATTGAGATATAATGAGCTGGTAGAGCAAAATGGATCACTGGTTCACGAGCTAGATGAACCTGAGATACCTGCGAACAGAGAACACGTGAACTAGTTCGGGGGTTGATCCGACGGAAATTCCTCCAACGCTCAAGTCAGACGAGCGAATAGTTGAAGTAATTGAGAGAATACAAATTGTGGTATTGCTCAAGGTTCTAAAAGGCGGTTATCGGGTACGTGGCGGTTAGGGACCGCCACACGATAAATCGGCGCGGAAGTGATTTATCGGAGATAAATCGGAAATATATCGGTTTTTAAATTTAGTATAATATATTTCTAAATATTATTTGTAAATACTCAAAATATATATAAAAGAATATTTAAACATAATTCTATCCTATCATTCATATGTTATTATATAATTCTAATTACTCAATAAATAACAAAAATTTAAAACTAATAAGATCATAATATAATAAAAGATTCTTACGAAATACAAATACTACGCAAGTCTTTCGCATCAACAATTAATATAAACACAACAAAGCATAAATTGCGGGGTAATACTTGGTTTGGTTTTGGAAGTTGAAAGAATTGGAGAAAAACAAAAAATCAAAACATATTTTCTGTTGTAAAATGGCCTATTTATCTAGCTCTTTGGTTTGTGTTTGTGGAAATACATAAGAATGTAAATAACAAGAAAATGAGAGAAAGAGAGAATGCAAAGAACAACAATCCGTAGAGAGAAAATTGTGGGTCTCCATGGGGAGGGAGTTTTTCTCATTAATATAGGTGTAAGCCACCGGAAGTTACAAGGAGGAGTTACAAATGGAAGTTCCATGGAAGTTATTTCCTACACACATCAAGGGACTAAGATGTGTGAAGTTTACATTAGTGGGAGGTTGAGAAGACCCTCAAAGTGGTTAAGTTAGGAAACCACACATTCCATATTATTTACAACACTCCCCCTTGGGTTCCTATCAAACCACTATTGTGCTTTTTGTGTTGCCTCGTTAAAACCTTCCGAGTCATAAAACCCATTGGGAAAAAACAACATCGGTCAGGGAAAAGAGTACAACGCACAATCTTTTCAATCAACAAATGTTGCCTCATTAAAACCTTGTCGAGTAACGAAAACCCCGTGGGAAAAATAAATCTCGCATGAAGGAAAAAAGTGTACAACAGGGCACCCCGGGTATCTTTTGGATACTGAGTATCTACAGGATACTCCCCCTCAAGTTAACTCCCCCTGATGTCTACAAGGGAGCGAGTTCGTATAATCTACGCAAGTCAATAGCCTTAACATGGTTTTTCAAAGTGACTTTAGGCGAAGACTTAGTAAATAAGTTTGCGTAGTTAACTTAAATCATGATCTGCTGGATCATTATTGTTTGAGCTCTTATTGTTGTTGATTGAAGAAAACCTCATAACTATGTTCTTGGATTTGTCACATTTAATGAAGCTCATCTTCTTTTGCTCAATGCATGTTGCATTATAGCCAAATACAATCTCGTAGGATCTTCTTGTTAACCAATTCACAGGAATCTCGAACATGCCTAATCATGGCTTCAGGCCATGTGCATATTCACGCACTACCTCGTAAAGAAAAAACTTTTGCATGATTCGACTAAGTGACCACTAATTTACACTTTACAATATCCAAGACATAACGATATTTTGAATACAAAACAATAGATTTTGGGAACAAGCTTTGTGTTGGTATGACTTCTGGTCAATGCCAATATGAATCACAAGCTTTGCATCATTCAGTGATGCATACATCGTATGTGAGGTGAGCTAAATCTATTTAACAAACTTACCGGAAAACACAATCATATCGAGTACAGGGAGTTAAGTACAATAATGCATATATTGCATTTAGATATGGCACTTCTCGTGCTAACACTTCCTCATCCTCCTCCATGGGACATAATGAATCATTGGTCCTATTCCACTGTGGAACTCCCATAGGTATTACTCGATAATTTCTCTTTATCCATAAAATCTTCTGGATGGGACAAAAATCGAATTGACATGATAAATTTCAAGTCGTTAGAGACAACAAATTAGTCTTCTATAGATCTTTGATCTTGAACTCAAATTTTCAACAATTGAGTTTTTCTTACATGACTTCTTCAGTAGTCCAAATCAAGTTCATGTCCTTAATATAAATTTTAGTAATATGAACAATCAAAACCAATTATTGTTCATCTATTCTCTTCCGAGCAATTGTTCACTTAGGCAATTATCCTATATTTTTCCGGAATATTTCAAGTCATAATTAAAGTGAACTTCTCAGCCTAACTGAGTTTATGTTCCGTGGTCTGGAACTAATTGTCTTGG